ACCCACCAGGGTGGAAAGGGAAGGCTCCAAAAAATGCCAAGCTGCAACTTTTAGGGGGAAGTTTGTTCCTATAGTAACTGCCAGGAGTTACATAAGGAATCCCACAGCTCCCATGCCAGGCTCTGCAGTGCAAAGGTAACTCCAAAATGCAGGGGGGGTCTCAAACCAGCTTTGCTCTCCTCCTGGTGGATCCCCAGCGTGAAAAAACAGTTCGTTCAGCTCCAGTTATTGAAGAGGTTATCGAGGTTATCAATCCAACAAAAAGTGACCCCGGACCTGCCACTCCTTCCTCTTTTAGGAGGTATTTTAAAGGACTTAACGGCTTCTAAAAGCTCCCCAGCTCAAAAAAGGAACTGGAAAATAGGGTCTAAATATTCTTAACGTGAAGTGATGAGTTTAAAAACCTCTTGTGAGGGGTTAAATGGCAGCAAAATTCAACCCACTGTGGCGATGGGAGAGCTCCCATCCTGCTGCTGTTTACAGGAGCATTTGGACACGGGGGTGGTGTTTACCTGCCACCCAAATTTTTTGTAATTCATGGAAATTCAGGCCTCCTTGAAACCTGCAACTTGTGGGATTGGCTGGTGTGTAGTTTTGGTTAAAAATGGTACAGGAAGGACATGGATTGACTTTATATATATATATATATTTTTTTTTAGGCTGTGTCATCATCGATACGGGTGATGTCACCCAGTCTCCTTGCCTGGATTGCTGTCATATCACTGCTTGAAATTGTTCCCTTTCACGGCTGATTTAGTCAAGTAAAAACATCACTTTCTCCCGCAGCAGGAAGGCCCCACCCTGCTGTTCACAGCATCTCTTTTCCTTTCCTCCACCTCCCTCCCCTGTGCTGCTCTCACACTTCAAAGCACGAGATGGTACCGGAGATAATACCAGCACTGAAATGCTGCCTCCAGAACCACGGGGGCCCCTCAAATATTGGGTATTTTTGGGGAAGATTTCAAGCCTGTTCTGAGAGGAAACACAGCCAGAAGCAGCTTGGTGGGACTTGGCCAGCGAGGTTCCTCCTGGTTTTGGGGAAGAGGAGTGTCCTGGTTGCCAGTGCACCAAGGAGATTTTTAAGGCAGAGCTGGAAAGCTGTTGGGAGGAATATCCTCAACCTTGTAGTTGCTTCTGGCTCTTCCTGCAAATAGTGGTTAATATATATGTATTTTTTCCTATATATATATTTTTCCCCCATAGTTACTGAGGGGGGGGGGGGAAGGACAAAGAAAAGCCCCCCAAAATAGCCCTTTTTTCCTTCAAAGCGTGGCATAAAGTCGAGTTTTTGGATGAGTAAACCACACACCAGCCAGTCCTGCAAGTGGCAGGTGTCAAGGAGGCCTGAATTGCCACGAAATGCAGGAAATTTGGGTGGTGGGTAAACGGAGCAGCAGGATGGGAGGTCACACTGTGACAGGGGGGATTGGAGAGCTCCTGAGAGAGGCTGTGAACAGTCACCTGCCAGGGATGATCCCGCTCCAGGGAGGATTCCCCACCTCCCTGTCGCTGGGAATGGCTGGGTGATGCTGGGTGATGCCCACCACCACGGGGCAGTGTTGGTGGGCTCCATGGGCACCTTCCCCTGGGACAGCTGGATGCTCCCAGGCAGGGATTGTTTGCTCTGGGAATATTTCCTGAGCAGTGCTGTTCTCTCCTTCCTGCCCGTGAAAGCAGCTTTTTTTTTTTTTTTTTTTTTTTTTCCCTTGCCCCCTTTCTCAAAAGAGCAGTGGCTCTTGCAGCCAGCTCCTGGTTTATTTTTAAATGCCTTCTGGAGGGGTTTTTGCTGCAGAAAGTTGCAGGAGGAGCTTGAGCTGAAATCTGGGGCCTGAATAAAGGGTGAGGAGCGAATCCCCTCGGGGTTTCTCGATGAAAACCGCTCAGGGGGGTGATCCCAGAGCAAGTGGCTCACTTGCAGTGGCCTCCTCAGGCTGTGCTGGGGTTTTGGAGGGGATTTGGGAGCCTTTTCAGCAATTCAGACCATTCAGCAGCCCTTGTAGCAATAATGGCTGTGGCTTAGCTGGGAGCTGGTGTGACCAGCTCGGTATGTGGTGTTTGTTTTGACAGGCTGGGATATAAAACAGGCCGTGGAAGTGTCTCCTGGAGCACTGGCTGGGCAGCTGAGCCTCTCTGGGTGGTGCATCCTCCCTCAGGAACCCATTCAAGCATTCAGGGCAGCTTTGTGAAACCTGGCTGAGCAAGGGATGCTTTTAAAACTCGTGACCTTCCTGCAGGCACTGCCAGGCTGGGAATGTGTCCCAGGAGGGGTCTGATCTATCCTAAATGTGGTGCCAGGGCTGAGGGCAGAGCTGGGCTCTTCAGCCTCTTTGGATTCTTACCCAAAAAGTGTGGGTTTGGTGGATTCAGGAAGGATTTGTGCAGGTGTGAGCTGAGGACATCCCAACAGGGCAGGCTGGGGTGGTGCCACAGCCTTGGCTTTTCCATGGATGTTCAAATCAGCCCTAATGCTGCAGCACGAGCACTGGCAGCACCAGGAATGGCTGGTGCTGGTTGTCACTGGGGCAAAACTTCCCAGTTTTCCATATGGGAAGGAGGTTTCCATTTCACCCCTCAGCTCTGGTGGCTCTGAGGATGCTCAGCCTCAAGGGAACTGGTTTTAGAACCTTTATAACCAGAGGATTCATGGGAGGAACAACTTCTGTTTCTTTCTAGTGGTTTTAACGAGCTAAAAGTTTCTGTTAAGGTGTCCTCAGACCTCCTGGAGATAAATCCATGATTCCCTGGAGGGTCCCAGTGAGTGTCAGGGTGTGCCCAAAGGCTGCAAGGGGTGATAGTGGCTCAGGGCAGCTATCGAGAGCCACTCTCAGACTTCAAAAAACCCACCCAAACATCCTCCCTGCGTGGCCCTGGGGTCACCCCCGGGTCAGAGAGCAGGCTGGGATCCCAACCCACCTCCTGGCTCTGGGGATAACCCACCCCACTGCCCCCAACTTTCTCCTGTCTCCCATAATCCACAGATTTGAAGCCTTCCTTGTAGCACCTCGTGGCTCAGCAAGGACACCCAGAATACCAGCAGTGAGGAGCTCACCCCTGTTGTATAATGTTATTTATTGCCCAACCACCTGCTGGGAGGATTTTTGAAAGCCTGTGTATTAATTTTATTTTTTTTTTCTTAAATTTTAAATATTCCCTGGCGTAACGAGGCTTCTCCATCCTGGGGCCACCCAGAGCTGGGATTTAGGAGTTCAGCTGTTAGTCCTGCGCTCAGTCCTTGCTGGTCCAGCCCCCGAGGTGCCACTGAAGCAGGAGGGTGACACTGCACCCCTGAATCATGGTTGGAGGTGGTGGCAGCATGGCGTGGCAGGTTGTGGTGGCTCGAGGTGGTCCATGTGACAACAGTGAGCTGATTACTCCAGCCCTGCCGGAGTATCTGCCTGTTAATCCTTTTAGTCCTACAAAGGCTAAATATATCTGGAGTTTAAATCTAACCTTGACTCTCACGCTTAATCCTGCCTGCAGTCTCACGTTATGGGGTGGCAGGGAGAGAATTCCATGTGTGAACCAAGGGAGGGCTCCTGGCTGACCCTGAGAGAGCCTTTTATTCCAGATCCTCACTTTTTACCCTGCTAAACTTATGGATTCTCCTCTGACTTGAGTCAATCCTAGCTTTTGGTGGGTATAATAAATGAACAAGGGTGTGCTTTTAATCAGGTCTTCACCAAGAGCTGTTCCTAAACTGGGAAGTGAATTCATCAGCTCCATTAAATTAATATCGTTCTCAAGGGCCACTCTTGAGGGAAAAAAGCAGCCAGTAATGGCAGGAGAGGGCAGAAGACTCGATAAAAGCTTCTTTTAAAACTCATGAGTTCCCTGGAACAGGTATTGGAGGTAAGTTCCAGGTTGTCCTGGAAGGGTCCATGAGCCCCAGATTGCATTGACAGCCCCAAAGCCCTCAGGATACTCCAGATACTTTCCCCATAAATAGGAATTAAATTTAACAGCATATCCAGAGCCTCAAACACGGCACTGCTTTTTTGGGGCTTTGAAATTACACTTTCCCCCTCTTCCCCCTCCCACCTCACTCTCATTAGCTTTAGGCTTTGCTATTTTAGCAGGATAACTCTTCATCTGCAGTAATGCCTGGAAAAAGGGCTGGCACAGTTTACTGGAGGCTTTCAGGTCTTTAACTGGGTTTGTGCCTTGGCTTTGGCCACTTCCCTGTGCAAGGTGACACCCAGCCCGTGGTGGGAGCTGGACACCCAAACTGGGGCTGGCTGGAAACTCCAGCCAGGGGGGTTAGTTGTTGTTCGGTTTTGGTTTTTTTTTTTTTAAAAGAAGAGTTTTAAAACACTCCTTCCAAAGCTGATCTTCCTTCAGCAGGACTGAGGGTCTGCTCCTGGCTGGGAGAAGGACTGGGAGGACCTGTGGGCTCTGCCACCCCCTGGGTGATGCTCTGCTGGGTTTCCTGGGTGGGGAGTGGGGGGGGAATCTAAGCTTGTTAATCTTTCCCTTGTGGTGTTTTTGGTTTTTTTTTTTATCCCTGGCATGATCTCCCCCCACACACCTCGGAGCTCTCCTGCCTGCCCCAGCAGCATGCCAACCTGGAATTCCCACCCTATGGAAACTGTGGAGTGAACTGAGCAAGTGTCTCGTGCTGGGATTGCAACCTGGGGCTCCACTTTTTTGGGTTTTTTTTGGGAAGGGGAGCAAATCCTGGGCTTGGTGCTGTTCTCCTGGCCCGCCTGGGCCTTCCTGCTCAAGGCTCGAGGGGATTTGATGGTGCAATTCCCGTGCTGAGGAGTTTTTTGCTGCTGTTCCTACAGCAGTAGGGAACGTTCTGGAGCTGATTGCACTGCAGCGAGGTTGTCTGAGAAAGAAGGGAAAAAAAAAAAAAAGAAAGCAGGAGCACAAACTTGCATTGGCATGGCTGTGACTTCTGGCTCAGCAGAACTCTGGGGGCTGCAGTGTTTGCTTCCCTCTTCCTCTCCAGAGCTGTTTGTTTTGTGTGGATGGAAGAGGGAGGCAAGAAATCTCCGAGTCTGATGATTCCAGCATCCTGCTGCTGCCTTAATTCCCGTTTGTGGTGTAGAGGGGAATGCAGACACCTGGGTCCCAGTTCACTTGGTAGTTTCTGAGCTGCTCGAGGCAGCCACGGGCGGGGTGGGTGTGACACACCCCGGCTGTGTCTCCTTGCAGGGCCACGATGGGCCTCCTGGAACATCGGGGTGTTCATCTGCATCCGCTGCGCTGGCATCCACAGGAACCTGGGCGTTCACATATCCAGGGTCAAATCTGTCAACCTCGACCAGTGGACACAAGAGCAGATCCAGGTAAGGAGGGTGGAGGAAATACAGGGGGAGGGGTGGGGGTGGGGGGGTTGTTAGTGGGGCTCCATAAATTTGGGAGTAGCCAAAGCCTGAGTAGCCCAAAGGTGTGGGAAGAGCAGCGGGAAGATGATGTTGGGAGGGAGAATGTCATCATTTCAGAGGGTGAAGACAAAGGAGCTGCAAGTGCTGTTAAACTGCCCAAGGCTGCTGCTGTCTGGAGCTGCTGCCCACCTCCTCTCCCCCCCGAGGTTTCCAGGAGCCAAATCTGGGATTTCCAGAGGGGCTTTGGGTTGCTAATGTGATATTTGTCTTGTCTCTGAGTAAATATCGTGCTGTGATGTTAGCACTGGGTAATTGTACAGGAGGGGGGTGGAGCAGCTGCCTCAGGATTCCCCTGGCAGGTGAAGGGTGGCTTTGGGTCCAGACAGAGCTCGGAAATCCACCCCTGCCTGGAGTCATCAGGGCTGGACTTGCCTGGGATGCCGTGGGAGAGCTTCAATGTCTGGGAAAGCAGCAGTTAAAGGACTCTCTTGATTTTTTTTTGATTTTTTTTTTTGTCAGTGTGTGCAGGAGATGGGAAATGGCAAAGCAAACCGTCTCTACGAAGCCTTCCTGCCCGAGAACTTCAGGAGACCTCAGACAGACCAGCATCCTTCCTTCTGGGCAACACAGGCAGCCTGTCCCTGCTGCAGCTTGGGAGCTGCCCTCGTTGCAGCAGCTGAACCAGGAGCTTTCACTCTGGGGGTGGAGAAGTGGGACACCAGTGTCCCCACGTGAGGCTGTTCCACACCTGGCAGCTGTGGGGAGTGGGAGGGTGGGCTTTCCAAAGGGCCTGAGGGTTTTATAAGCTCAGTGGAGAACTGATTGTGTCCTTCAGCCACTGAAAGAGCCGCAGGAGAGGTGGGGAGAGACTTGTTTCCAAGGGCCTGGAGTGACAGGACGCAGGGAGTGGCTTCCCACTGCCAGAGGGCAGGGTTAGATGGGATGGTGGGAGAAATTCTTCCCTGGGAGAAATCCCTGGAATGGATTTCCCAGGGAAGCTGTGGCTGCCCCATCCCTGGAAGGGTCCAAGGCCAGGCTGGAGCAACCTGGGCTAGTGGAAGGTGTTCCTGCCTGTGGCAGGAGGTTGGAATTAGCTGATCCTTAAGGTCCCTTCCAACCCAAACCATCCCAGGATTCCATGATAAAAAGGTTTAACGCTTCTGAAAACTGAAGCTGTAACTTCTGGATGCTGAGTGAACAGGGGTGCAGTGATGTGAACTCCAAAAGAACCTCACTGGAGCATCTCCCCACCCTCATTTTTTATGTCCTAAGCTGGTGCCTGTGGTGCTTTTTTATGTGCAGGATCCAGTGCTGGCCACTGTAAATCTGTGCTAATGACAAGGAGTAAATCTAAAACAGCGAAGAAAACACTCTAAGAATCTAAGCCCTCATTTAATGCACCTTTTATAGCACTGTCATGCTTGGAATAACCCAAGGGCAAAAATCGAGCAGCTAAAAGGGGCTTTGGATCCAGCACTAAATTATTTTAAGAAAGTTACTGCTGGAAATGCTCTTTTAAACAGTCATTAGTTTAGTTACAGCCTGTACCTTGTACCTACTTGTCAAATAATACCACGTAAGGCTTCTATTCTGGACTCCTTTGTCCTTAACGAGCTGCTGCAGAGCCGTGGAGAGTTTCATCCGGGATAAATACGAGAAGAAGAAATACATGGACAGGAGCATCGACATCAACGCCTTCAGGGTCAGTCCCTGGGCACTCCTGCACCTGCAGGGCTGGGGAGGAGTCGCTGTGGGTGTGCCTGTGTGGAAATACAGCTGGAATATTTCCTGTACCAGTGACTAATCCCTCCTCCAGGGCTGGTTGCTGCCACTCAGGGAGAGAGAATTTAAATCGGAGGAGATTTTTGAGTGGTCTTTGTGCAGTTCCTCGCTCAGAGCAGGACAAATGAATCTGTACCTCAAATCTGAGGGTTTTCAGAGCAGTAAGAGCGTGGTGTCTGAACTTGCTGCTGGTGTGGTGCTGAGCTTTGCCCCCTCACACCAGTGTGCTTTTCCCCACAGAAAGAAAAGGATGACAAGTGGAAAAGGAGTAACGAGCCCGTATCGGAAAGAAAACTGGAACCCATCATCTTTGAGAAGGTGAAAATGGTAAGAGCAGAGGGGAGTGCTGGTGGATCAGTGGTGGAGGCACCTCTGAGGCAGAGCAGAGGGAATCCAGCCTTTGCTCTTGGGAGCATTTTTTCTGCCCTCAGTCATAGCAGTGGGTGCTTTGACTCACTCTGCTGGTGGGAGCTTGTTTTCCTCTGCTCACCCAGATATTAAGCAGATGTGTGCTCTGCCTTGCACTGCAGAGCAGATTGGAATCCAGCTATTCCCTGCTTAGTTTTCCAGCCTGAGCAGCAGCTCCTTCTCCCTGGTTTAGAGCCTGCTTGGATTTGACAGTGGGCTCCCAACCTGTTGGGGCAATAAAACAGCTCAGTAATAATATTCACTCTGAAATTCTCTCTTTGGCAGAGCAAAGAGAATTCCACTTGCATTTCCCACTTCTTTCATTTATGTCCACTGGGGGAAAAGGATGGATCTTAAGGGTTAATCTCATTAAAGCCTCAGACATACCAGAGTAACCCCCAAATCTGATCAAGACTTGTGGTGTTCTTTCTCCACCCCTCAGCCTCAGAAGAAAGAAGAAATGCAGCAATCTAGAAAAAGTTCTCCTAAATCTGAGCCAGTAATGGACTTGCTGGGACTTGGTAAGAGCCTTTCCAGCCCCTTTTGCCCTGGTTTTAAGTGACTTTATAAACCATCTTGTGAATCTGGTGGGCTTTCAGTGACAGTTTTCCCTGTCAGGCGAACAAGAGGAATAGTGGAGTGGAATAGAAATGCACACACCGTGGCCCTGAGCTGCTCTGGGGTTAACAGGGGCACACACAGGGCACATCCTGAGCCCTCCCGTGGCCCAGAGGGAGGAGGGAGGCGCTGGCAGAAGGGTCAGGTCACTGGGTGGGGTGGCACCTTGGCAGGGGGGGGAAGGAGGGGTCCCCCAGCCCGTGTGGGCACAACCAGCACAGCTCTGTCTCTCCCAGACGCTCCCGTGACCACCCCCGTCACCAACGGCAGGCCCAGCAGCCTGGAGAAGGACCTGGACCTTTTTGCATCTGTGGGATCAAGCTCAGACTCCAGGAGGGTGAGCAGAGGGTGCTGGTGCTCAGGGTTAGGTCATGGAACCATGGGATGATTGTGGGGGGAAGGACCCTTAAATGTCATCTCATCCTTGCAATGAGCAGGGACACTTTCCACTAGAGCAGGTTGCTCCAAACCCTCTTCAGCCTGGCCTTGAACACTTCCAGGGGTGGGAATTAATTCCTAAAATACCCTCCTTAGTCTAAATGTGCCCTCTTTCATGGTAAAGCCACGAGCCCTTGTCCTGCCACGTGTCCCTGCCCGGAGCTGCTGGGCTGGGGGGCCGACCCCTGGTGCCCTGCCTGGGGCTGGGGGCACACATTGCCCTCATCCCTGTCCCTCTCTCAGGTCGTTGGCTCCATGCCAACCTCTGGAAGTGCCGGCTCTGTTCCCGAAAACCTGAACCTCTTCCCTGAGCCTGGAGGCAAAGGGGAGGAAGTGGGGAAGAAGCAGCTCTCCAAGGACTCCATCCTGTCCCTGTACGGCTCCCAGACCCCCCAGCTGCCTGCCCAAGGTACCTCAGGGCTGTGAGCTCTTGGTGGGCACCACTGGTTTGGGGTGGGATTGGGGTGTCCTGGCAGCTGGATGTGGACACTCCAGGACAATAAATCTCTTCCCTCCTGCCCCCCCTGCCTCTCCCCAGGCGCGATGTTCATGGCCCCGGCTCAGATGGCGTATCCCGCCGCGGCGTATCCCGGCTTTGCAGGCGTCACCCCGTCCAGCAGCATGATGGGGGGCCTGCTGGCCCCGTCGGTGGGGATGGTGGCCCAGCCCGGGGCCGGGGGGATGGTGGCCCCCATGGCCATCCCGGCAGGCTACGTGGGCAACGTGCAGGCGGCCGTGCTGGGCGTGCCCAACGGGGTGCTGGGCGCCCAGCAGGGCGGCTACGTGGCCGGGATGGCGGCGGTGCCACCGCCCGTCTACGGGGTCCAACCCGCCCAGCAGCTGCAGTGGAACATCGCCCAGGTGAGGGGGCACTGCTGGGACACGGGGAAGGGGGCTGGGATGGGCCCTGGGGGCTGCTGGGGGGATGGGCAGGGCTGGCGCTGCGGTCACCAGGGAGGGATGGGGTTCAGGGGGCTGTGCCTGGGGGGATGTCAGCTCGGCTCGTGGAGGGGGGCACACCTGGGAATCCCAGAGTCTCTGAGGTTGGAAAAGCCCTCCCAGCCCATGGATCCGCCCCGTGCCCCATCCCCACCCTATTCCCCAGCCCAGAGCACTGAGTGCCATCTCCAATCCTTCCTGGCACACCTCCAGGGGTGGGGACTCCCAACCTCCCTGGGCAGCCCCTTCCAATGCTTAACAACCCTTTCCATGAAGAAATTCCTCCTGATGTCCAGCCTGCAGCTTCCCTGGCACAGCCTAATCCCACATCCTCTCGTGCCTGGAAGCCCCAGACCTGCTCACCCTTAACTCCTCAGAAGAACTCCTGAAATACGTTGTGGAGCCAGAGTTTGGGCTGGCAGCGTCCAGGACACCTCCCTGACCTCCCTCCTCTCCCCTTTGCAGGTGACCCAGCAGATGGCCGGGATGAACTTCTACGGAGCCAACGGGGTGATGGGCTATGGACAGTCCATGGGAGGAGGAGGAGCCCAGGGCAGCAATCAGTCCCTCAGCTCCCCGATGTGGAAATGAGCCCTCGCGTTTGTGACCATTTTTGCCTTCTGTTCTGTTCTTCAAACCCGCTCCATGAGACATTCAGGGTTTTCCTTTTCGGGGCCGCCCAGCCCCGGACCCTTCCACCCCTGAGCCCCATCTCTGCCTTTTCACTGTCAGACACGGTGAAACCTCAGTGACCAGAACCATGAGCTCCCCCGTCCTTAGCACAGTCAATGCACACTTCGGGGTGGATCCCCCTCCTTGCACAAAACCTCCACCAGACGCTTCTGGGTAGCACTTGATGTCCTGCTGGGCACCTGGGCAGAGGTGGGGCTGGCGAATCTCTCCTTTGTTCCTCGGCACTTCAGCTCCAGCGTTAGTGGGTTGGGGTCAGCAGAGGGGGTGGGGAAACCTTGTTTGGTGCTGAGGAACTGGATCTGACCCGAGCCCAGGGGCAAGCAAGCCTTGCTACCTCCTCCCTTGAGCGAGTTCTCCGGAGCTGAGGCCGCGCTCAGCTCTCTGACCCTCATTGGAACCAAAGTCCTTGGGAAGCCCCCCCGTCCCTCCCCACCCTGAGCCAGCAGGATTCTCGCCCGGAGTGGGGGCAAGGCCGATGGAATGTGAAACTTGCACTTCAGAGTGGCTTTTCTGTCTGATGTTGGTGTTTGATGTATTTAACTTTTAGCAATCTAACTGAGAGTTAACTTATCCAGGGCTGAGAGCCCCACTGCAAGTTTTCTTACACTTTTAAAATGACTATGACATCCTAATTTATACTTTTTGCATATTATTTTTTTTTTTGTTCTTTTCTTTTTGGGTTGTTGTTGTTCCTGTGTAATCCCAGTCCCCTTTCCTGGCTCGCTTTGGACATTTGAATCTTAGGCAGATTTCTTTTCTCATCTCCAGTAGAACACAAACTGCTTCGAGTCATCAGCGTGAGCAAGAGGTCAGACTGTGGTCTGCTTTCTCCTGTTGATATGTAAATTCCCAAATAAAACATTGCAGTGAAATCTCCCCCGTGGCTTCTCAGCTCTTTGAGCAGCAGGTGTTTTCAGTGGTGCTCCCAGGGTGAGTTGTTTGCTCCAGGTGTGGGGATTTTTGGGGTGTTCCAGCCCAATTCCAAGGCTGTGTCCCAAATGTCAAGGAGCTGAGGGCTGCCAGCACTCCAGGAATGGGCTCAGCCCGGGCACAGTCAGGTCAGTGGAGACTTTTATGTACAAGAGACTCAGGTTTGGGGTGGGGGAATTAAATTGTTCAGCTTTGCACTCATTTTTCAACGAAGCCTGACCAAGGCTCAGCCCAAAGGTACATTTTAAGGTTACACAGGAAGTTAACAATCATAAAATTATGGAACAGAACGGTTTGGCTCGGCAGGGAGCTGGAGGATCATCCAGTGCCACCCCCTGCCACGGGCAGGGACACCTCCCACTACCCCAGGTTGCTCCAACCTGGCCTTGGACACTCCCAGGGATGGAAGTGGGAAGCCATTTCCCCCTCGTCCTGTCCCTCCATCCCTTGTCCAAGGTCCCTCCCCATCCCTAGGGAAGGTTGGGTGGGATTTGGGAGTCACCTGAAGCTGCACAGGCAGGAAGGTCTGTGGGTGGCTGTGCAGCTGCAGGGAGAGCTCAGCTCCTCGTGGGAGCCTTGAGCTGATGGCACTCTGCATATTAAATATGGTATTTCTTTCCTCGAGTCAAAACCTGCTTTTTCTAGCAAAAAACCCCCCAAAAAGGAGTTTCTTCTTTTCCCTCCCCAGTGTATCTGTTGGGTGACTGTTTTGAAAAGCTCGACTCCAAGCACAGAAGAAAGTTTTCAAGCTGGCTTTAATCATCTTCACTTGCTGCCCCAATACTGTACATGCAGGTACAAGCCAATGAAAATGTGAATAATTCAGGTTTTCCCCTCTTTTTTTTTTTTTTTTTTTTCCTTTTTTTGGGGAAAACTGGCTAGGAATATTTTACAAAACAGCGTGCACCCTCACAGCCATCAGTCCTGCTGCATATATAGAAACCACAAAAATACAAGAGTTTGACATTAAGAAAGACCACACACATAGAAAACAGTACAGAACACGGGTAGAAAATTGCCATTTGCTTGTTTGAAATCTATTCCCGCTCTCAAGGATCCGTCACAAGCCCATCACCTCGTCTTGGACGTGGAACTGGGGCTCAAAGGACCCTCCAGTTCCCCCCCTCTGGGGTGATTCTTTTTTATTTTTAGGGTGGAGTTGTCAAATAGAAGGAATCTGTCATCAAACCCAAGTTTCTCACGGAACAGGAGGGGGGGGGTCACTGACTGGTTCCATCCTGGCTCCCGAAATCCAAAGGTATCCAAGGTGAGTGTGCCAGTCCTGGGAGTTCTCCTGCCTCTCTCCTGTTCCCTGGGGTGTGGTGGGGACATACCTGGCACCTTCTCATTCAGCAGCAATTAACCCCGTGGCTAATTGGCTTCTGGCACTTCCCAGCCTCATGGGGCTCTCTCGGATCAGCTGATCCTTCTTAATGCAATTTTTTTTTGGGGGGGGGAGTAGGGTGGATTTCAGGCTGGAAAATGTGAAGGACTGTGTGTCCTTGTGTCACTCTTGAGCTGCACCCCTGTCACAGCCACTCCTTTCAGCTCCACCTCCCAGGGGAAGGGCTGGGGTTAGGAATTACAGGCTGAGCTCTGGGTGCATCTCCTTGCCTTTAACGAGCTCATCCCTCATCCTACCTCCGATTTTGGACCCTTTTATGCCCCCTCAGACCTTTTTTAGGGGGGTTGACACGGTTTGAAGGCATAGGCTGCGTTTACAGGTTTGTTAATTGCAGACAAAACCCCTCAACTGGGAACAAAAATTCGGAATTTTTTTGGCAGGATTCACTTTGGGTGCTCCTAAAAACCCCTTGGTGCTTTTCTCCATGTGCTTGTGCAGGTTTGGTTTCCCTAGTGCTGTCAAGAACCAAAATTCAGGGATAAACTTCCGACTTGGAGCTGCTGCTTCCCCCCCCCCCCGCCCCCCCGAGCTGTTCCTAAACCATGGGGGTTTTTTTTTTTTCTATTTGAGGTATAAACTTTGGGGATTAATGACAGATTCTTGAGTCCTGGATCGTGTAAGACACGATCCAGGTGCTTGTTGGTAGCGTGGAATTGGAGGGGGGGGATTGGGATGACACGATGAGGGGTGGGGAAGGGGGGATAATTCCATTTAAACTGCACGAAAAAAATCAAGCCCTTTAAGAAAAACAAGGCCACCAACTTCAAAGTGCTCTTAACATTCACGAGGCACCCGCTGCCAGGGGCCCTGGCCAGTGGGGATGGGGAGGGGGAGCTGCTCCTTCCACACGTCAGGAATTGCTTCACGCTCAGGACAAAATTCCCTTTTGTTTTTCTTTTTTTAGCCAGCGCTGGGATCTGGGTATTTACACACACAGCCACCCTCTCAGGGACCAGGATCGGTGCTCCACCCCTCCCTCCCTCCCTCCCTCCCTGCCTGCTCCCCAGGCTCCCTCTCCATCCCTGCCCCAGGGAGGGATTTGGGAGCAGGGCTGGCCTTGGCTTGTGCCACCGAGCCCCTGGGAGGGTGCTGGGGGGGCTCAGGGGGGGCTGTTTGACAGCAGAGATGAAAGGAGGGCATGGAGGGTGCCCCTCCAAACCCCTCCCTCCCTCCCAAATCACCCCCTGGGCCAAGGGGAGCAGAGGGTGGGAGCAGGTGGGAGATGCCCAGCCCGGGGCTGAGGCTGCCCTTCATTGCACAGGTACAACAAAACAGAACCTGAATGTGGTCGAGTGCACAAGCTCTGGGTCTGGAACAACAACAACAACAAAAACAAAAAGAAGAGGGGGGAAAGGAGGGGGACAAATGAAAGAATGAGGTATAGCAACAATTGGAGCTGCAGCGGGCACGGGGGGCACAGCAGCTCCTGGCCTGGGGGGCAGCTGTGGGACCACGCTGGTTCCTCCTGGATTCCTGGTGTCTGTCCCATCCTGCTGTCTGTGCCCTGTCCTGCTGTCCGTGCCTGAGGTGGATGGTCGGGCTCCAGCACTGTGGCAGCTCCTCAGACAGCAAGACAAACACTGCTGAACGTTTTTCCAAGTCTATTTTAAACCCTAAATCCTCCGCCAGGTGGGTTCAGGTGAGCAGGATTGTCTTCACCCCAAAATTCCAACCATGCTTTTTTTTTTTTTTTTTTCTCCCCCCTAACAAGTTTTTCCTGCAGCTTTTCACCCCTCTTTTCAGCTCCTGAACACCATCCTTGTACTTCTAACAACCAGCTGAGGGTTGGGGGGGGGTTTCTCCATGAAAAAGAAATCCTGCCCCATCCCTGGAAGTGTCCAAGGCCAGGTTGGACGGGGCTTGGAGCAAACTGGGCTCGTGGAAGGTGTCCCTGCCCGTGGCAGGGGGTGGAAGGAGATGACCTTCAAGGTCCCTTCCAACCCATCCTGGGATTCTGTGGAGCAGAAGGCAGATTTCCAGTTGAAGCAGCTTTGCTGGAGGAGCACTGGAAGGGCCCTCATGCCTTTGGATGCAAACCCTGCTGTTCCTGCAGGCGACTCTCCGGATCCATCAGAAGGAAAGCAGGGAGAGCTCTTCCCATCTTCTGCCATCCCTGATGCAAACACCACATTCAGGCTTTGGGCTCACCCAGTGAGACAGACAGTGCTGCTGTTTCCCAAACCAGTGGCCAATCTCACACCTTTGGGCAGGTGGCAGCTGTGGATTGCCCGAGCGTTTCACGTCAAGCTGGAAGAAAACAGAAGGTGGGTTCCTTCTGCCTGGAAAAACATCCCTGGTGCCGATTTTCGGAACTCATTTCGGATCAGGGAGGACCCTCAGGCTGTTCTGGCCGGTGCTGGGGGTTTGTGAGCCCGGGGGAACCAGCCAAGGGGTGAAATTTGGCTTCTCCTGCCCCAGACACCAAGTCCAGGCTGCGCTTCCCGAGTCTCTCCTGCCTCTCCCCGAGCTGTGGTGTCACAAAGGGAATCCTGATCCCACTCCCCAGGAATTCCTGCTCTCGGATTTGAAACTGCCTCTGTAACTGCTTCTGGAGGAAAAAAATAAGGTTGCAAGAGCTGGACAAGCTGGATGTGGAGGGAATTCTTCCAACCGTCTCAGGAGCTCTGTGGCAGCAGGTTCGGTTTCCTGATTCCTGGGAATTGCTTCTGTATCTCACTGGATTTCAGGAAAACTACATTTAAGCATCCTCTCCCCATGCTTTCAGCGTGCCATGATGACACAGGAGCTGATTTCTGGGCCCAGCTCCTGCTGCCCTCGAAAATTTTCCCTCCACTTTGGCAAATTCAGCCCATTCCAGGCGGGTAGAAAACACAGG